CTGGACCACGGACGCCAGTTCAGATTTTGCCAACCGCAGGCAGGAGTGCCAAAACATGGTGCTCCTTCCACCCCACCCAGACTCAGAAGAAGTGGACCTGACGCTTAGGAGCGGTGGCGGGGAGAGGAAGCCCCCCCAGGCCGAAGCCAGTGCTTCGAGTTAATGCTCTGGCAGTTTATTAAATACATCACCCAGCTGCCTAGATTTTTTTCTTTTCTGCTTTGTTTGCGACTTTACCCGTGGGGACTTAATTGGCAGTGTAAATTAGCTATACCCCTTCTTCTTTTCACGTGTCAAAGGATGGTCTTCAAATGCCATTCAGTTTTAACTGTTATAAGATAGGTACCAGTGAAGAATGCTTAAAGAGAAGAAGATTTACAAATTTCCTTCACCTCCTCCCCCCATCAAATATTCTTTCATAAAGAGCCTACCTCTTCAGACTCAATGCACAACAGGTCTAGCCAGAGGACATAATTACACAGTGTACAACATGAAGTTTCAAACTCTAGTATAATTGCAACTTTAAAAAATTTATGCATAACTAAAGACGAAATTAGCATATGGAAAACTTTCGGACTTTTTTTGTATTTTCCAGTGTATTTAATGAATTTTTTTGTAATGAAAAATAAATAGGTATCATTTCTAAGGAACTATAGTTTTTCTGTCAATTCGATTTTGGAAACAGGTATTGAGAACCTATTATAGGCCGGCTGGTCATTGTGCTTAATTTTAATTGATTTTAATAGTCAAATGTGGCTAGCAGTTACCATATTGGTTCTAGAACGAGAAAGAAATTACTATATTTCCCCCAATCACGTCAAACTCTCTTTTGAGAAACATTTGGCAGACATAGAACCTCTGGAAACAATAAATATTTTCTCCAAACTCTTTTCTGAGCTTATGAGAAGGTAGGTATTTTAATTTTGCAGATGGAATATGTGCTATGGTGAGTGCTGTGAATTGTGCAAGACTGTTGAATCACAGATCTGTACCTCTGAAACAAGTAATACAATATATGTTTAAAAAAAGAAGAAGATAGCAGGAGGGGAAGAATGAAGGGGGGAAATCAGAGGGGGAGACAAACCATGAGAAACGATGGACTCTGAAAAACAAACTGA